AGTAAGTCTCAATCTTAGTGATATTCCTTAAAATTTAGCTTGTATATGTAAATCTGTTTTTTGGGGACGCGCTACTCCCCGCCTTATTGTAGCCCCTCTTGGTTTCTATAAAAAAAAAAACTATTTGAAAACGTAGATGTTATATTAAGATATGTGGATGAATAAATTGAAGTAAAAAATGCATATACACTTAAAAGATAAGAAAATAGGAGATATAGAAAAGTACTAATTGCCTTCTGCTTGAACCTCAAAATCTAGCATTACCTCATCAGCCCACCCATCATCGAAAACTCGAGATACAACAACTAAACACAACCAAATCACACCAAACAACCCACATATCAAGGGACTGACAACGAATTTCTCGACTAGAACTTGACATTGGAATTGAATAATAAGCTGAATTCCCATAGCATACCTAACCCTGACCTCAGAGTAATATTCCTTTGGACTCAAGCCTCTGGAAGTGGAACCAAAGTCGTTGGGCACAGAGAGCTTCATTTCTTCATAATTTGGTTCTTCCTTCTTGATAACAGTCTTATGGATAGGGTGATATTCAGATAGGATTAGTGATTTCCAAAACTGGAATTGTTGAGTGTGTGGGGTTAGACAATACAAGGGTTGAGACTGAGTCAAGGATTCAACTTTGATAGTCGTCTGATGTTGGAATTTATGGTGAAGGTTAGCAACTATGTTCAAGTGGTACTTTACTAAAGAAAAGGTCGAGATAAGGAAGAAAAAGCAAAAATGAAAGGGAGAGCCGAAGTCGTTGTTAGATGTCATCCGGTGGTCATTCTGGTATTGGGTAGTCATTCAATATTCACAATAGTGAGAGTTCAAATGCAATAGAGAGAGAGAAGTGTGAAGAGAATGATAAAAAGGGAGGAGGAGGAGGAGGAGGAGGGAAATTTCCCTGATTCGCGCCTTTCATATAGTGGCAGTTTTAAAAATAATACTAAAGAATAAATAATATGTACTAAGTGCAAGGTTAGTATTTTAATCAATTTTGTTTGACACCCATCATTTATATCGTAAATAATAACCCAATTTATGGATTAATCTAATCAATTGGAATGCGTTTTTTTTTTCTTTTTCTTTAAGCGGAGGTAACTACAGCCTACCACTAACCCTTTTTGAGTGTGGAGGTAACTATCATTTGAAGCTCGTACCTTTTACATTTTTTAGATTAGGTAGACACATGCCTGAAAAAGAATGCTTCTATTTGAGGGTGGAAATAATCATTCTTCTGATAAGATCATATTTGGTTTTGAATACCAATGAATCAAACATGGGCCTACCTATCCTCCCTTTGTAGTCCTATCCCAAATAAGAAAGTCTTTTTCATGTTCCCATCAATACCCCATGCACATAGCGAGATGCACAATGTGGTGTAACCATGTCAAATTAAATTGTTTAGATGTGGTGTGACCAAATCATTTTTGTGTCAAAAGTCAAATCATTTTTATGATGTTTCACATGAGCTCATAACATCATAACAAGAAGTAAAATCAATGAGCAAAATAAAATATAAATTATTAAATCTAATAATTACTATTTATTATCATATTTAATAATTATTGTAAGGAAAACACGTAAAATAATCATTCAATTTATGGTGGACTATCCATTTTGTCTACCTTATTGAACACTAAAAGCCTTATTTATTGGAATCTATGCCAAATGAGTATAATAGAGTGAGGGATAGGATTGCAAATATCTTTCTTTTTATGGTTGGTATGCAATATTTTTGCACTCTCTAACTCTAAGGCTATGTTTGGTTTGAAAGAAAAAGTAGGGAAAGGTAGGGAAACCTTTACAAACCTTGTATATGTTTTCCTACATTTCCCTTCCTTTCCCTACGTTTTCCTTCAAACCAAACATAACTTAATGTTAGAACTCAAAAGACTGCTTTTCATTTCAATCTAAACCAACCTCTCGAGTTTCTATGGGAAGACTTCGTTAAGAATTTGCCAATAAAGTAATAACTTGGGTAAAACCTTTCTTGGTTTGATGTTGCCTTTGTAATGGTTATAGGCTTTCTTTTTATATTGGGATTTTATGGGATGAGTGAATATGTTACAAACTTTGACTATTGGAGAGAGAGAGAGAGAGTTTTACTAGAAACAATTAAGACTTGAGAGGGGTTTTATTTGAGTAGTGTATGGATTTTATTAGACAATTAAGGCGGAAAATGGTTTCAAACCTGGTGTGACTTAATTTATTAATTATTGTATTTCTTTTGTATCCTTTTTTTGTTATTATTAATGGTTTCCATCGGCAAAGTTTTATCCCATATACGGATTTAAGACAAGGCAGTCCCCTTTCTCCTTATTTGTTTATTAATAAAATGAAACAATAAAATATTATTAAAATAATAAAACTAATAATATATTAATAGAATAGTTATAAATTAATGATAAATATTAAGATATTAAATATTAATAAAATAAAATAATAATAATAAAGTATTGATAAAATAATAATAAAGTATTAATAAAATAATAATTATATATATATATTCATAAAATAATAATAAATTAATATATAATTAAAATTTTCAATTAAGAAACTTGCCTGGCGTTATCTGAATGAACAACATAAATGGTGGGCTCAGATATGAAAATCGAAATATATCCCTTTAAATGAAAATTTTCCTCGACCCATTCCACGTACCAACTCTTACTTTTGAAAATCTACTGCTCCTGAAATTCAAGCTCTTTTTCATGAGGTTGGTTTCATTGTTTTAGAAAACTCCACAAATCCAATTTCACAAGTATCTTGGATCCAGAATAATAATTCTTTTCACATGACCAATCACCCTATTATTGCAGAAATTCTGAATTATACTTTTACCAATCTAATCCAAAATGGTGATTGGAATACACTTGTAATCCATTCTTTTTTTGATATTGTAGAAGAATCATACATACTCCACACATCTATCCTTCCTGCAAATACTCCCATTTCATGGATTTGGACTAAACATTTTTCAAGAAAATTCTCAACTTCAATGGCTTATAAAGAGTTAATCCAAAATAATTTGCCTCAGTTGAATGATCATTTGAAATCATGCATTAAATGGATTTGGAGTCTATCTTGCAGGGGCGATCATGGGCTGGGCAGGGCTTGAAACATAAGCCCTAGCCCAAGTCTATACAGGCCCGGGCTGGATCGGGCTTGATTCTGGGCCAATGTCACTCATATATAAAACATTACATAGCTATAATATATGTCACTCATATATAAAACATTACATAGCTATAATATTTTATATTAAATGACATAACATGCACATAAACTTATTTCATACATTATATAATATAAAATATTATATATAATATAAATTTTATAATATAATGTAAAATAACATGTATACATTATATACAAAATATGTAAGTTTAAATATATGTGGGCCACGACGGGCTTGAAGTATTAAGCCCAAGCCCGACTCTAAAATTTGCGGGTTTGATGTGGGCCCGGGCCCGGGCCAGGCCTGAACACAAAACTCAAGCCTAAGCCCAAAATTTGCGGGTCGAGCTTGTGCGGGCCAGGCTGAAATGATCACCCCTACTTCTTGTCCTCCTCGGTATCAATTTTTATTTTGGCGTATCATACATAATTACCTCCTAGTAAAAACTAAAATATTCAACCGAGATCAAGATCAAACTTGTGTCTTTTGAAATAACAATTCAAAATCTACTAATCATTTATTCCTTGAATGTTCCTTTACTCAAACTATTCTCTTTGCATCTCCCTGGAACATTATATTAGATTCCTTTTCTGATCTTAATTGGATTGAAGGCATAATTAGTCTTGCACAAAAATTTCCAAACAAATCTGATTTTCGCAAAATTCTTAGCTCGTATGCTATTGCATTATACTATATTTGTTCACAAGAAATGAAAGAGTTTTTAAGGATTCTGATCTTTCTAATATATGAATTGTTTGAAAAACAAATGCTATCTTTGATCAAGTATTGGATAAATCAACAAATCCTACTCCAAATCCAGCCTTCCCTCCTCAATTATGTCTTCATCTTAATCATAATACTGATTGTATAATCTTTACAGATGTAGGAAAACATATCCATTCTTATTTTTCTTTTGGGGTTATTATTCTAACTACTCAATTGGAGTGCTTACAAGTTGCAGGCAAGGTTCAAAATATCGATACACCCAATATACCGGTAGGGTGTATCGGGTGTTTCGATACTTGTTTTTTTACCTTTTTTTTTTAACTGGTTCAGGAGAGTTGATCTAGGACCCCTCCATCCCCTGAACCGGTCAAAACCCCTGATACACCCACTGTAGGGGTGTATCGAAAGGGTTCCAGAATGATACGTATCGACCGATACATAACGATACTTTAAACCTTGGTTGCAAGTGGAAAAAACTTTTAAGATCAATAGAGGAAGCAAAACTTTTTGCAATCTACCAAGGAATATCTTATAGTCATCAACTGGGGGAAATCTAACCTTATAATTTGTTCAGATTCTCAGATGGTGATCAATGCGATTGAACATCCATCTTCTCTACATTGAACTATTCTTAGACTGCTTATATCAACTACCAACCTAACCTGCTTTCTAACTTTAACTCTGTCAAATTTATCTCATTATCCTTCCTTTATTCCCTCTGTATAAAACTTTGTATTTTGCTTTTCTGAGTAATATATTCTGGTTTTATCTTTAAAAAAACAACTAAATGTAATTAGTCCTAAAAATACATCACATCAATAATAGGTGATTCCCATCTTATCCACAAATCGAACGGACCATTAATGTTTTTCCCTTTCATAAAACTCCATGGGGAATGAATGGAGGAGGTCGGTGTGACTTTTTGTTTTTTTTTTTATAAAAATCGGTGTGACCTTTTGTGGTGAAAAGCTCTTTACTCTTATCGATACTTAATGATTAAGGCTCTTCCTTCTTTTCACAACTGAAATTCCAATCCAACTGTCAAATAAGTTCCCACTTGTAAACAGATCAAGAAGTCACGAAACGTCAGAAAAACTCCACTAGTCCAGGTGACCTTATCTCATCGTTCATTCAATCATTCTGAGTTCATTTGATTACCACACTTTGAGCTCGCGAGAAGGAGAGTTGAAGACGATGAAAATGGTGATACTGGTTTTTCATTAGGCCTGGCATACCGTCAACCTTACGCCTTCTTTGAGAATAGCATCGTCAACCCGGTCTCTCCCTAGAATTTCGGATTGGTTTGAGAAACCCTAAGAAACCTCTTCTTTCGAGCAAACGATTCGAGGACTCCTTGAGACCTTGACCTATTCCGCGGTTTTCATTCCGTTGCCTAATCATGGAATCTGTGAGTCTAGATTCACCCGAGGAAGTGAGGAACTGGCTTGAATTGCCTGCGGACGTTTTATATCTGATATTTATGAAGCTTGGTGCCATTGAAGTCCTTGTCCGAGCTCAAGCTGTATGTTCTTCATGGAGGAAGCTTTCCAGATCACCTCAACTTTGGCGATGCATAGATATGCGGGAAGTGCAGGATTACTACCACACTGATTATGACGTAGAGAATCTGGAGAAAATGGCATTGAATGCCATAGATAGGAGCGACGGGCAATTGATCGAATTTTCAGCGGAACATTTTACAACCGACAAAGTTCTGGAGCGTATCACCGATAAGTAAGATATTCGTATATCCTTGCTTGCCTGTAATACGTTTCTTAGTTTGAGCTTGTTTTCGTTTTTTTTTTCTTAAATTCCATAAGAACCCTCTTTTCGGTGTTTGAAATCGTACTTGTGCTGAATTGCGTTATCATTTTAGTTGGATGTTGTATTGATAGAAGAAGATTATGAAATAATGTGAAAATTGTTTAATACGGACTCTTCCGAGTGCACAGACTCGTACCCACCAGGATTATGGATCATATTATATGCACAGAACATATATACAGGTTTGAAAACGGATCCGTTTGAATCAGACATACCTAGATCCAAATTTGACTTGTTAATATTCGGTTATGAGCTGAATCTTATCTCTTCGATTTCTATTGGACCCGTATTGGAATTTGGATAACTGGATTACAACTGAACTAAATGAGAGCTGGATCTTATCTAATTCTTCTATTGGTGGTTTTATGTGTTAGAAATGTTTTTGCCAGGAATGGCAATGGGGCGGAGTGGGGATTGGGAGCTTCTCCCCATCCCCTCGTCCCCGTGAAAATCCCCATTCCCGTCCCCGTCCCCATCCCCGCTAACGGGGACAAGGTTATCTCCATCCCCATCCCCATCCCTACGGGGATCCCTATCCCCACGGAGATCCCCATTCCCCATGATTCTTTATAATGCTAACCATTTTGTTTTTGTTTTTTATTTTATTTAAAAAATAAAAATAAAATAATTAACATTTACAATCGTATTAGAAAATATTCAAACATATTCAACCATATTTTTAAAAATATTAATATATAGATGTGTGTTTACATATTTACATATATAACGTATGCATACAGATATACATATATATATATATACAAGTGGGGATCCCACGAAGCGGGGATCGGGGTCCCCACGGGGCGGGGAGTGCTCTCCCCATCCCCACCCCATTCCTACTAACAGGGATGAAAATTTCTCCATCCCCATCCCTGTGGGGGAAAATATCCCCATCCTTGCCCCATTCGGGGTGGATCCCCACGGGGATCGGGGAAATGGGGAAAATTGCCATCCCTAGTTTTTGCTTTACAAACCAATCCCAAAAGGGAATATTTTCTTTTACTTCTAACTTATCTTCGTACCATAATTCTCGGGTACGTTCTCTCTCATTTTTAGAGAAGTTTTCAAAGAACTATTTTTTTCTTTATTGGTTGTGAATTAAAGTCTAACTTTATTAGGTCTTTATCTATTTGGAATTCTTTTCAATTTCCAAGATGTTTATCTCAAAATCTGCTTCACTGAGGGGTTACTCCTCTGGGCTGCGTGATAGTTTGAAGGTGGTGTTTCTATTATAGGGGTTTTATAGGTAGCATATATAATGCCAAGAGGAGGACGAGATGGTTCCAACAAATCTACCGATCTTCTTGAATGAGAAGATCTTACCTCTAATGGTTCAACATACAAGGACCTTGAAGAAGTAGAGGCTCTTCTGAACCGCAACTCAACGGATCCATCCTGGTTACTGAATACCGATACTAATTCAATGGACTCCATGGGTCTGGGAGGTTCTATATTAGCTATTGACCAACTGTCCGGTAGTTTTACATCTTTCCACATAATCTGCCTAGGAATAGTTATATTATTCCTAGCGATGGTCTAGAATAGGGTAGTTATTCCCCTTGTTCCGATGATCCTGGTATTAGGACAGATGGTATTCGTGGTCTTAAAATAGACCATATAGACTAATGCTACATTCACTGATCCTGGTTTCAAATCGAAGCCTTGGGTCTAAGGTTAAGGCTTCTTGTATCCCTGGGTCCGTTAACGACAATGAGAAATTAGGGAAAGCATTAAAGTATATCAGCCTTTGATGAAGACTTCTTTCTGTTACTCCTATTAAGGAATCACTGAATTTATTATGCCTTGAATCTGTTAGACAGGCTAAAGCAGTTGTCTAGAGGCCCAACCTTGTTAATGGTTTTATGGCTACTTGTATTAGGCCAAAGTGTATATACAATGACAATGTATTTTTTTATAAGCCTCTATCACCTTTCTATCTATAAGATGAAAATCTTCTGATTCGTTGCCTAGAGCAATCGTTCTTTCTACTATTCTAATGTTAAAGTCTGTATTTAGACTGAATACTCCTTTTTCATATATTTCGGAGGGTGTTATCTTAGGTATAGTCCAGTTTTGAAGAGATTCCTCGATATTACTATAGTTTATTTCTTCCATATTTTTTATAGACATAGACATTGTAAGGGATGAGCTTGTACCATATTCCTCAGGACTATTTTCATTACTAGATCCTGACCTAAACAATCTCCTCATCTTATCCTTCCCCTTAACTGGTAACATGCAGTCAACTTCAACGGCCTTTCACCAATCCTTTTCGGCCAAAAGCGACTTCGCCCTGGGTGCAAGGGTTCTAGCCATGGGGGAACTGTTAGGTGACTAGTCTAACAACTTGGGTGCTAGCCAAGTGATCTCTCCAAGGGGACTGCAGTTTTGGGTTCTAGCTAAAGGTTCTAGGTAGTATCTAATGATTAATAGTCCTGATTCTTGTAGGGTTAAAGCTCTGTACTACGGTTTACCTATAGTTTGGATGTTGCTTGGATTATGCCTCTGATACCAAATGGAGATATAAATCTCAAATGGGTAATAGAATGAATGGAGATATTGTAGGAATTAAAGCTGAGGATAGAGAGAGAGAGATCTGAATCGAATTCAAGGTAAGCCTCTCTTATTCCCAATCCACTTATTTTTGCATGTACAATGTAGTTTTGTGACAGCTGTAACAACTCAAGAATCCAGATTCCCACTTTCATTAGTTAGTTTGTTGTACACCTGGTTTAGTCCCACGTGTTTTCTTCCTTGAGTAGACCTTCTGAATAATTGGCTTGCTCTGTTTTTGGTTTCTAACAGTCCCCCTCCTGTCTCTTCGATGGTGGATTGAGGATGCACACCACTTTGGATGATTAGGACTAGGTGTCAGATTCAATGCTGGATTGTGGAACATGTGAAAAGTGGCAAAATAGGCTGCTTATTATGTTTTTTTTCCCTCCAATGGAAATGGAGCAAAATATGCTTGGGTTGGATGAGATGTGCAAATTACACATGCCCGATGTAACATTTATCGTTTTTCATCTACTTACATATTTTGGTGTGCGTATGTGTTTAGTATTGTGATCCTCCCAAAAGATGAAATTTCCACTTGTGTCAGTTCTTTGGTAAAGTGGGTAAACCAACCAAGATGTGCCACATGGCAGCACACCACAACCCGAATGTCCAGAATTATAACCTTCTAGTTGGGTTAATTTTTCCAGTTACTGGGTCAACCCAATCCTTATGTACTATTTGACAACCTACTATGACCCAAGACATGCATGTATGTGTCCAAGAATCTTTTAATGAGAATGATGGGTTGGGCAGGTTGAATTGGGTAATGGGTGGCACCCATTTAAGACTTCAAATTTGTCCTTCATAGGTCAGTGGATTATATAGGTGGATTGAAGCTCAAACCATGCCCAACCTCCCAATTGCAACCCGTATAGTTTGTGTCCCAGTGTTTGGCATTTTTCTTGGTTTTTTGGTTGAGGTGTGTAGTTTAACAAATGTTTTATCATTCTTTAGTGAAATACATAGTAAAGTCATTTGGGATAGTTGAAGTAACACCATAACTAGAGTTCACTATAACTTAAAAGACAAAATTGTTTCCCCTTAGATGGTTAGGATTTGATGAACATGGTAAGATATTATGTCTAGGCTCCTAGCTGGAGCCCACTATGCTGGACAGCCTAGCAGCGGCAGAGCATCTGCCAACCCCACACCTGACTGAACACCACCTGGCACCTGATTGTGCAACCCTTGCACTCATCAGTGCACTTGGCTCCACCCTTGCCCTTCCCCCCTTCCTCCCCTTCGGCAGCACACTTGACTATACATTTCTGTGCAGCACACATTCTAGAATGTGATTGATGTTTAAGCATGTGGCGCTCACCATCTCACAAGTAGGATAAACTCTCCATGTTTAAGCTTCTAGATAGATATGTACACTAAATTTGCTGTTCGTACAGTGTCTTCTGTCATGTAACAATGACATCTATGTGCTGCAAATTATTATCAGAGAGATGTGTGAGGGAGGGAGCAATCCTGTGTCATGTGTCTTCCATTTCAATAGATGGTCCAAAATGCCATTACGTTCAGAATAGTTCTTTACCAAAAAAAAGTTCAGAATGAGAGCAAACTTTGCATCCAAAAACTTTTGCACTCAAAGTTGGTCAATGTAAAAAAGGTGGATTTCAGTCTTGGAATTTGTGTTTGCACCCATCACAACTAAAATTGTTTGGCAAGAGTATGAAACTATCATTGCAAAACTAAGCCAACTTTGCATTTTTATGAAAGAGATATATTTGTATCTACACTCTTCCCAAATGGAGCGTAAAAGGTCTTCATAGCTCTCTCTCTCTCTCACATCTAATGGCTATCTGGTCTGTCTACATATTGCTTGCTTCTCTTCATTTTACCTACAGTGTTGCATCTAGCCCTCTATCTTGTTCTAACTTTTTTTATATGGAAATATATTGTTCTGATTACATTTTCATTTTCAGGTCAAGTCCTCTAAGATGCCTTCGGTTAGTGTCTTGCTATAAGATTTCAGATGAAGGGTTGATGGAAGCAGCTAAAAAGCTGCCCCTATTGGAGGAGCTACAACTTTCCTACTGTTCAATCTCAGAAGAAGCACTCGAAGCTGTGGGCAACTCGTGCCCTCAGTTGAAATCCTTCAGATTGAACTGCCACGGGTACAGGAGCCCACATATCGAGTCTAATGAAGAAGCACATGCTATATCAAAAAGCATGCCTGAGTTACGCCACCTCCATCTTTTTGGAAATAAGCTGAATAACGATGGTCTGCAGGCCATTCTTGATGGTTGTCTCTATCTTGAATCCCTTGACCTCCGCCAGTGTTTCAATGTTGATCTAGCAGGAGACTTGGGAAAGAGATGTGGAGAAATGATCAGACATCTGAGACCTCCCAATGATTCCACCGATGATTATGAGTTCAGTGCTGAAATTCATGATGATCCATCTTTTGTTGATTCGTTCTCATCTGGAATTTCTGACATTTATTATGATGATTACTTTGGATATTTTGATGATAGTGGCCTCTCCGACTACGAAGATTTCAGCTTTGAGCCCTTTATATTGGTTTGATGGTGTTCACCTAATCACATCATAGATTTGAAGACTGAAGAAAAATTTGGGAAGACCTGTTTTTGGATGGAGTGCAGGTCCAGCTGGTTTCCAGGCTCTGTTCCTCTTAAAGCAAGAAAGCACAGTTTTCTTATTGTGACTAGCTTAACATGCCCTTGGATAGGTTAATTAGAAAATCAATATGAGCTTTATGGAATAATCCTGGATTACCAATGGCTGCATTCATCATTTTCTGATATTATTCGGAGGGGTGGGGGAGAATTGGGGTTTTGTGCAGAAACATGAAGTTATTTTCTATTCACAGTTGATGTTAAATCTTAATTATTTTTTATTTTTTGTAGGCTTTGTTGATGCGAAGAACGGCATGATGATTATCTGTCTTTTGATTTTCACAATAATGGGGTACCCCTCCTTAAGGACAGAATGTAGAATGAAATGATCGATTTGGTATAGCTAACTCCCAGAATATTATCTTGGGCGAGTTACTATGTTTGTATTTATTCTTTTCTGTGGGTAAATGTTGTGTATGTTTAATTGTTTATTGTCCAAATACTCTTTGATTTGGATGCCATGTCCTAGAAGTTCTCAAGCTTCGCTTGGAATTATATTACTTAGTCCTTGTTATATAATATTGACATTATCTCTTATAAGGGAAACAACATTTTTTTTGACGCGGCAAGTTCATTGATAAATGCTTAGTTTATAAAGTAGAAAAATTAAACGCCAAAAAGGTCGGCTAAACGCCTCCAACAGAGTGCGTCTCCCTTCCAAATGAATCTGTATCAACTATGCAAAACCCTCAAGGGGTATAGAGAAAATAGGTACCATGGCACTCAATTCATGGCATAATTGAAAACGTGAAAGCGGGAGAGGCTTAAGATTGCCTCCTATTATAAAACTCTCCCTAATGCTTCACCGTCCAAACATTCAAGTCGTTATAGAAGCTGAAACATTTGAAGCTGTTACAAAATTCTCCCTAATGCTCCCTTAACTGTAGGGATGCAAAATGTGCAAAAAAAAACATCCATCCATATCGTTATAGAAGCTGAAACATTTGGAGCTTGAATGTCATTGGAGAGAACTTGAAGGTCACTGGAAAAAGGCTTGCCAGGAATGATAACATCGTTACAAAACAAATGGTTATTAGCATACTACACACAAATTCGACCAAGGCCCTATAGAAATAAGAAAAAGACTAGAGGGAAAATGAAGATTAAAATGAATAAAACCAAAGTTCCCAAGTCTGCTCCATAGGCTTGGATCAAAACCGTTGTCTCCCAAATCTATCCAAAGAACCTCTCCAATAAACACTGATATGAAGAGAAATAAATGAAAACTCACATCCATAGATGTGAGAGAAAAACCCTCCCACCAAGAGAGAGACTCTTACGCAAAGAGAAACCTTCCCACAGAGAGAGAAACCCTCTCGCCGAGAGAAAAAAACATTGATTTCAATGTTTTTAAAAGTTTATATACATATATATATATATGTAGAAAAATGTGGTTTGAAATCTTAATGTTCTATTTTGAGAAATAACCATTTTGCAATTTTATCCTTATGGATGAATTAGTTTGAATTAGTTTGAGCTATGCATGTATGCAAGTATAGATACAAGGTTTTTATAACACTAAAGCAAGTATCACTTTATATAATATAGGGATTTTTGGCTCTAACAATCCTTGAATTTTGTGAAGAGGCCATTTTTTACCCTAAAGATTCAAAAGGGCCATTTTCACCCTCAAACTATAATGGAAAAGCCTTTAAATTCTTAAGGCAAAAAGTGAGAATGTTAGAGATGTTGTATATGGGTTTCATTATACAAATAATAAAAGGGTAAATTGCTGAAACCTTTCTTGAAGTTTGGTAATTATAATCACTTCCCTTGAACTTTCTGACATAGTTTCAAGTAGACCCCTTTTTTTTAGAATCTTCTAAAAGGAGGCATAAAATGTCCAAAATACCCATGAAATTGTTTTTGACCAAAATGTTTAGTTTCTAAAATTTATCTTCATATGAATCATTAGCTCAAACCCTTTCAATCTCTTTTTTGAAACTGATTTTTTTTTTCAAATTTTCCCTTTATTTCAATCACTCAAAGGTGAACTGCAACTTTAAATTCTCTTTGTTTTGTTTATAAAATTTATATTGTTTTTCTATAGAAACCAGCCTCAATAGTAACTACATGGGTATTTTGGACATTTTTAAGATTTTTGTTAGAAGATCTCATGGAGGGAATCTATTTGCAACTATGTCATAAAGTTCAAATGAAATAATTGCAATTACCAAGTTTTAGCAATGGTTATCAGGGGAGATTTCAAAAATTTACCCATAATAAAATAGGGTCCGACTATGACATGGAAAACCATATGGTATCGAAAATCCCTCACAATGCCACATTTACAGCAATTACCAGATTTACTATAATAACTGGTAACTAATTATTTTATGTTATAATTAAAATTTAAAATATCCAAAAAAACTTATAAGTCGATTCCCGAGAACTATGTCAAAGAATAACATATCTTGTACAATAATAACCCGATGCCCCACTTTCATCACCATACTGAAAGGAGTAACCACACTTGGAATTCTGAGCATGCAGCCATCATCTAAAGTTTGAACTGCTGAATTACATAGTTCATCTGAATAAGATACTAGAGAAGCTATGGATGAGGTGGTAGCATCAAAGAAATTCAAAGCAAGCTGCAAAAATGTAATAGTCTTGGCAAGGATTTCATCTGCAAAAATGTCAATGGAAATGAAAGAAGAGGAAGGAGGCGAAAGAAAGAAATAAAGAAAGCTTTACATTTAGGCCGCTATATTTGGGGCAACCATTGCATGCATTGTAGGTGACCCACAAGACATCACTTCCAGTGTCAATTTAGACATAGAATTCTTTTGGAGGAGTCCCCAATTTCACTCTCATAAACTAGAGTTTGGTTCAAAGAAAAAGAAATGTGTCAAAACCATTACAATAAATCCCCACCCTGTAGAGTTTTAAAGAGATCAAAAGCCGAAGAAGATAAACAAATAAAGAAAATGAATCAACATCTTCGAAATCCCATATATGAACTACATTAAAAGAGAAAAAACAGTATAGACCCACATAGCTATCAATTTGCAAACTAAAGAACCTCAGAATATCAAAAGCCCATTAAACAAAGAAAAGGAAATAATAAAGAAGCAAAGAATATCAAAAGCCCATCAATATAAATTATAAAATAACGAGTAGGTAAAGGAAGAAGAGAAACAAATTTCAGCCAAGAACAGAAACTAATTCAAGAAACAAAACCCGAAAGCCAAACGTCATCTTCAATTGAACCCAGAGCTTAAAATCAACCACGGACCAAAAAAACAGAAAAAATTACCTGACGGTGTAAGGATTGTAGGTACTCTTGACGGGAAAATCGACGACCCCACCCTGCAAGATTCGGTGGTGCCTTACACTGTCACGAGCTCTAAACTCACTCAGCTCAACTCTCTGGTTTATCGGAAAGGCTCTTTCGAGCTTCAACCTCTTCGGAAATCCACAAAACACCACCACCGGCAAGAAGATGGCGCCCAAAACCAAGATCAGAAAACCCAACATTTCATTTTGATTTGCTTCTCACCCTCTCTCGACAACAAAAAAAATGTGATCTTATATTATAAACCCATACAATTCAGAGGTGAAGATCAAGGTGCATCTTTTTGTATCATTGAAAGCGCAAAAAGAGAAGAGCAGAGTATGCGTGAGAGAGAAAGCGAGAAACAGACTAGAGAGTGCCCAAGGTCCCAAGCAGAGAGAAATCAATAAGAGAGAATAAAAAGACGTTCCACAAGAGGAGACCTCAACAACGGCCACCAATAGAGAGAGGAATGGGGGTTGGAAACTTGGAATTTAGAGGGAAAGATAGAAGGGGGAGGGTGACGTTTAACCGTGAAAACATTAACATCTTTCTTATTTTGAAATGAATTTCTTTTTTAAATGTTTGTTTTTGAAACAGGTTACATGGGATAACCCGTATTCACCGAAACAGACAAGTCGAATGTTGATTGGTCCATATCATCTGATATGATATGAAAAAGATGCTTTTTCTATATCATAAATTTTCCCAATAAAATAATAAGGCCTGCTGATATGTCTACGCTGAGGTAAAAATAAATAAATAAATTTATATGTTGGTTCTAATTAAAATTCCCACCTTTTTACATGTGATAAGAATATAAACAAAAATAATTATTTTTATTTTATAATTATACTTATTTATAAAGACCCTAGATCAGTCATCACCCACTCTAATGACTCTGAGTGCTCGACAGGCACAATGCATTATTATTGGTTAAACAGCCTCCAACAAAGCCATGAAATGCGAAGCTACTAGAAAAGGCTTGCACAGAAGAGCTGTGCAAATGGGTGTACAAAATACAATAATCAAATTCTGCTTTCTTAGCTTTTTGGGTGGTGGTTCACAAGTAGTAGTGACCTTTGATTAGTAACCTTGAATACATGACTTTTTGCTTAGACCAATAAAGAGTATACAACCTACCAAATAACTTATTATTGTGTTTTGTTAAGTAGCAAAAAAAAAAAAAAACACTATTTGAAAGAAGTACAAATACAAATATTCTTTACAAACTAAGCCATAATTTGATATTGAGGAGGGCTTACATTCATTCATAATTCATTTTCAATGAATCATCACCAAATATGGCTGCCCGTAAAGTTGCTAGGTTTGTGCTTCATTGTTACTTTATTACTACTGACTTTTTGATAGTTCTGAAATCTCCAAAAAAGAAAGGTGCATTGGTATATAGTGGTACTATGATAGGGGTCATCATTGGCTGGCCTGCACTGAGCCTCTCACCTGTGTAATATTTATTAATAAGAATTGTTCTGTTGACTTTTGGGGACGTGTTATTCCTCATTCTGTACTACATTTCTGTTTCTGTTTATTTTCAATAATAATAATAATAAATTATGCCCAGATTTGAGCCCACCAAACTTAAAAAATTACAGGCATGATATGGACCTAGGCCAAGCCCATAAATTTCCGGGCTTGGTTTTACAACCGCATCAGAAAGTCTGATGGATGCTTTTCTAGGTAGGAGTGTTCATTGGACTGAATTTGGTTGATCCAATCTAATATGAATCCATTACAAATGCGCTATTGTCCATTCCAATCCAATGAATACTTTGGATTAATTCAATTCAACATCTGGACCGTCTAATCTGTTCAAACTGGTTGTATTTTAGATTTATTCTGATTTAAATCTGGGCCATTGACACCTCTATTTTTATCTTCCATCAATGGACGTGATATTGGTTCAATATGATCCAATTCCAATATAAATCTATTGCCGATGGATAAATCCAATCCAGTCCAATTAATACTTTTAGAGATTAGACCATTAAATCTAAACTGGTCCAATTCAATATGTATTATTGGTCCGTGCAATCAGTCCAAATTAATTTTGATCCAACTCAAAAACGGTCCATTGACACCCTTATTTCTACTACGTATTACCACGGCATTTGTTGACCAGTTGCAATCAAATTATTTTGCCATAACCTCGAAACCTCCGTTCTCCAATCTCGAATTCCGTACCTTACCAAGAGCATGACCACATTCAGACTTCAGACTGACCAAAGTATCCTCTTACTTGAGTGCGACAGAGCAGAGTCGAGTCGAGTTTTGATAGCATTTTCTAGCCATAGGAGATAAAGATAAGAGAGATGCTTCTTTGAGTAAGAGACAGAAGCGGCTAGAGTCTACAGAGAGAGAGAGAGATGGGATTAGAGAAACCGAGGCAAGGAATTTCTATGTTAATTTCAGCTTCCGTCTTTGTCTGCATCTCCCTCCTCTTATGCACGGTGGATGCCCAGCTCTCAATTCCCGCCAAGTATGACGGGTTTGTCTACAAAGACCGCAGAGTTCACGACGACACCATCGTGATTGAGGCTTTTCTCGACCCGGTATGCCCAGACAGCAGGGACTCTTGGCCTCCTCTGAAACAGGCACTCGAGTACTATGGCCCTCGCCTTTGGCTCCTTGTTCATCCCTTCCCGTTGCCGTCAGTAGCCTCTCTTTTATCTCTTCTTTGTCTGTTTGAAGAATTGAATTGTTGATTGTATTTCTTATCTGTTCTAGTTCGATACCCAATTGAATTTTACTGAATGATGAGATTGACTTTTCTTGTGCTTTCATCAAATTGAATTAATCTACTTTGACATTTTATTTTTTTCCCGTCTGTTTCGCTTCTTCATACGAGTGTCTGTTTGGTATAAATGGTTTCCTGAAAAAGCTGAAATTCGGTTCTTGTGATTTAATGCTTATTGCTCTATAGCTGTTCTTATCTTCGATTCTATTATCCTAGTCTGAATGGATTCTTTCCATTCCTTTTACACTTTTTTTTGGTTAACCTTTATAACCATTTGAATACAAAAATGATGTTTCTTAGTAAAATTATTTTGTAACCTGAGATTTTTTTTTTGAAAGCAGCAGTTAGGCTGATTCCGTTCAACAAATCAACATTATGCAAATAGCTCCTCACGGACGACTTCCTCGATAAAGGGAGGAGGAAGACTGTCCCATTCAAAATCCTTACACGAATTAACAGACTGCTTAGCTAGGAGGTGTGCAGCACGATTACAGTTGCTGGAAACAAACACAATTGACATAGAAGAGCTATCTAAATTAGATGCCTGCACTCCTCTAGGACACCCTGTATCTTCCAAGGAGGAGGACGCCTTTCCTCCAACAGGCACTTGACAACACTTTCAGCATCACTTTCCACAACTACCTCTGGAAATTCAAGCTCAGGCCCAGATTTATTCCTTCTTTGATGGCCAGCACTTAAGCCTCTGCTGGGGATCACGGAGGAGTGCAAATAGATCTGCTTCAGAGATGGGCACCCTTTTGATCCCTGAAAATAACACCAAATCCAGCCATCATCCCTCTGATTGCCGCATAAATATTTACCTTTACTCCTTCAACTGGAGGCTACCATCCATCGTCTCAACTTCCGGCTTTTCTGAGACATCCTCCTGAGTATGGTGAGCAGCAGCACAGAGGTTCCTCCTGGCTTCTTTAATTTGAGCTTGGGCAGTGAGAACAGTAGAAATTGGATTGCCATCAGTCCTACTTTCTTGAACACAAATTTGTAGCGTTGCTTCCATATGTTTCATGCTAGGAAGGCACCATCAACAAGGAATAATTGATCACTCTTGACACCTTGACATGGAAGACACTTCCATTCCTCAATCCACTCCCCCAGCCTTTCTTCGGAGGACTCAGTCTTCATTCCAAGATGAGAAGCAAACCATACTTGTGGAGCAAAGGGGCAGACGAACAATAGGAGCTGAACAGTCTCAGGCTCATTCCAGCACAAAGGGCAGGCACTGTCTAGCCCTTTAGTCTCTTTCTAAGTTCTCCTTAGTGGGCATGGCATTAGAAAGGCACGCCTACAGGAAAATGATTACACTTGGCTGCACTATTCTTAGGCTCCAGATAACATTCCATTTCAGGTCCCAACCACACTGGGATCTTCTCCATTGCTGATCCTGAAGCACCTTGTACGCAGACTTACGTTAACAGAAAATAAGCCTTTAGGCATGTGAGTCCATATGAGGTGGTCCTTTGGATTTGACTATGGGTCCTGCAGTCTGATGCTTAGGATAGCTTTGGCATAAATAGGGCAAAAACTCTCTTCCACCAACCTTTTATTCCACTTCTTACCCGTGTCCAGGAGGTCCTTCACCTTTATATTCTCCACCGATGGATTAGTGATCACAGGCATGAAAATTTGAAGATCGGGAATCAGGGGTCACGACTAATGCTTATTTTCCATCCATCACCCACAGATCAGCAAGAACCACTTGCAAGGTGATCCCTGCTTGAGAGAATAGCCTTCTACACATGAGAGGAGCTCTTTGCAACTCCCACCTGCCAAAAGTCCTTTTTTCTTTTGAAAACTTCTGCTTGAGAATTTTTAGTCACAAAGCCCATCCACATTGAGCTATCAGATTTTATGCAATATTGTTCTCCTTTGTTGTTCTCTTATTACTAATGCTGGTTGATTTATTTTCTTTTCCATCCTCATTGAGCAAGCATCATCTAAGATGCTTTCTATTGGCCAAAAATTGGAAGAATACCCCATCTCTCTGGGCTTGAGATTGCTTCCATGGGCCCCAGTTTTGCCTTTTCATCTTAATTGTGGTCCCTTGCAGTAACTTCTTCAGTGAGGCAGATGGACCTAAGATTCCTTTTGTAGTGGCTCTACACCTTACTTTCTTTTTTTTTTTTTGTAAAAGGTAATGTAACTTTATTCAAAAACAAACTCAAATACAGACTGAAATCAGACCCATGAAGGCAGTCTGAAAACAGCCGGAATTACAACCTCCACCAGGAACAAGACTGAAACAAATAAGACAAGTTTAGATTTCTGAACTCCTCAGAGGTAGAAATCCAAGAAATCAACTTGCCCACTGCTCTCTGAATTACATCATCAAGACTTTTAGATCTATTACAGAAAAATCTACTATTCCTTTCTGCCCAAATGGACCGCAAGACAGCAGCAGGGATTGTCTTCCACATCAACTTCCGTTTCTTACTTAGGCCATTTGTATTCCAGCTGCAGAGATGCTCCTTAACCGACCTAGGCATGACCCAACTGATACCCAATGCTTTGAGAAAATGCATCCAAACCTGAGAGGAGAACGGACAGTGAAGACACAGATGATCTGTAGATCCTGTAGCAGACCCACAAAGACCACAGGATAAATCCAGAATTTGAATGCCCCGCCTTAAAAGATTTGATCTGGAAAGGCATTTGTCAAGGGCCATCGACCTGACCAGAAAATTGGATTTAGAAGGACTTTAAGGATTCCATATCTGTGTAGTGGCTCTACACCTTTCAAGCATAAACTATGAGAGTGCTTGATCCTTTTGGTATGTACTATGCATATTTACTATGCTTCCATATATACCTACGGTCTCTCCTTATGCTCTAAACCTTAATAACTTCCTGTTAATGTATAGAGTCTCCTTGCTTATTTTCTCATTCCTGTATAGAGTTAGATGATCATGTACCACAAGGACCAACTGGGACCAATGGCTACACCACTGAGAGTGTTGATTTGGTGTCACTGTGTAAGTTGAAGGCACTAATATGAAGGCAAAAATAATGTGGCTTGAGATTTGAGAAGATATTTTATGGCCTCTGCTTAATTAGAAGGTATGGCTCTAGATGGGTTAAATTAGGGCAGAGGGTTTGTGTAAGATGATGCCAATATCTTGGACAAGGTCTCTTTGACTTATTCAATGATTATTCTCCTTTCGATTATGAGATTTATTTAATAACCTAAGGTTTTTAATCCTGTGTAAAGCTTAGACTTCTTGTTATTTCTTTGGGTAATGTCAATTCCTACTGTGCAAGATGGTCTAAGTTCATATGATGCATTTTTTTTATTGATTTGAAACGAAAAGCCTCTAATGAATATCTGTGTGAAAAATGCAGTTACCATGACAACGCTTTCTCTACCAGCCGTGCACTACATATTGTGAATAAACTAAATGCATCTGTCACATACCAAGTACTGGAAATGTTCTTCAAGCATCAGGTTGGCACTTTTTTTTTTGGTTTCTGGGACTTTTAGTTACAGGTCTTTGATAGTCATTTTCAGTAACAAAATTTATATTCTAATTTTAATATTGTCATTCACTATCTTGTTAACTTCAGCTACCTTATTATTTTTCTTGACATCCTGTAGAATTTGATGGATGTATTCTTTATTAAGTAAGGACCATTACTCAAGGATAGTCCCTGCTATCCAGGGTCTGGGGAGGGGTGGACTGGATATGGACTTAGCCTTGGTATTCTTCTTTTGCACAAAGTAGCCACTATGGAGCCTACTTTCTCATGCTTGTCAGACCTAGATTTTACCATTGCAGCAAGCAATGTCCTGTTATGTATTCTTTTATCAAATCATTATTGTGGCTTAAGATGATCTAAACTATATTTTGAAGTTCTCTTAAATTACCATTGTTCTCTAAGGAGTTTCTCACCTTACGATTTGACTGGCAAATTGATGACAATCCAACAATTGCATTAGAATTCCTTTAGTAGAAATCTATTGAATTAAAAAATATAAAAGAAAAGTAGTTTCTTGAAGAGAGAAGGAGAAGAAGAGAAGAGAAGTTGAAAAGAAAAGAGAGCAATAATCTGGCCACCCCCTTCACTTCTTATTTATACTAAAATAATAGAACAGTACAAAGACAACTATGCCCTTATAGGGCGGCAAAACATAAAACAACATATATAACACTCAAAAACATAATAAAATTTGGACTCACATAACTACTATGGTCCCCACCTCCTATCTAACAACTAACATAAAACATCTACTCAGAAAAACATCATAAAACTAATTTATCTTCAACATTCCCCCTCAAGTTGGGAGTAAATGTCACACATTCCCAACTTGTGTAGATCATGTTCAAGCTTGTTCTTTGCCACCCCTTTAGTGAGAACATCACCCAGTTGCAACTCTGAAGAGACATAAGGCAAACAAACTTCTCCGGTTGTTACCCTTTCTCTTATAAAGTGTCTATCAACTTCAATGTGTTTTGTCCTATCATGCTGAATTGGATTGTGGGCAATATTGATTGCAGTCTGATTGTCACAGTATAACATCATAGGTTCCTCTACTTTCACCCCAATCCCACTCAAAAGAGATATAACCCAAAGAAGTTCTGAGACACCATGAGCCATGGATTTATACTCAGCCTCTGCACTTGACCTTGCCACAACCGCTTGCTTCTTACTCTTCTAGGAGATCAAGTTTCCACCTACAAAGGTACACACTCCTGATGTAGACCTCCTGTCATCTAAGCATCCTGCCCAGTCTGCATCTGTATAGGATTCTAGTTTCAGATTCTCATGATTTGAGAAAAGAATGCCTCTGCCAGGGTGCTTTTTCAGATATTCAAGTATTCTCTCAATAGCTTTCCGGTGCTGAACCCGAGGTGCATGCATGTACTGACTCACAACACTGACAACATAAGAAATATCTGGTCGTGTCATACACAAATACAGCAGTTGGCCCACCATTCTTTGATATCTCCCCACATCCTTTACCAACTCACCATCCACACCATTAATTCTGTGATTTGGATCAATAGGAGTGTCTGCTGGTTTGGTCCCCATCTTCCCAATCTCTCGCAGTAGGTCAAGTACATACTTTCTTTGTGAAATGAAGATCCCATGCTTGGATCTTGCAACTTCAATCCCTAAGAAGTATTTGAGCTCACCAAGATCTTTGATCTCAAATTCTTGCTACAATGATTTTTTTATATCACCAATCTCCTCCAGATCATTTCCTGTCACCACTATATCATCCACATACATAATCAGAATTGACACCAAAGCATCTCTCCTTTTCACAAAGAGGGTGTGATCAGACTGTGTCTGTGTGTATCCAAAACGGATGAATGCCCCTCTGAACCTATCAAACCAAGCCCTAGGTGACTGTTTCAGTCCATACAGAGATTTTCTGAGTCTACACACCTTTCCTTTACCAACATTTTCATAAAAGCCTGCTGGAATGTCCATATATACCTCCTCCTRTAAATCACCATTGAGGAAAGCATTTTTGACATCAAGCTGGAACAAGGGCCATGAATAGGTGGCTGCTAGAGATAAAAGGATACGAACTGAATTCATCTTAGCTACTGGTGCAAAGGTTTCCAGATAATCAACACCATAGGTCTGATTATACCTTTTTGCTACCAACCTTGCCTTGTACCTCTCTGTCTTGCCATTGGCCTTATACTTCATTGTGAATACTCATCTACATTCGACTGTCTCCTTGTCTGGGGGGAGATCAACTATTTCCCAAGCTTGGTTTTTGACCAAAGCATCCATCTCATCTTGCATGGTTGTTTTCCACTCAGGTTTGGAGAGAGTCTCAGTAACATTCCTGGGTATAGACACAGAATCCAAGGAAGAAAGAAAAGAACGGTAGGAGGGTGATAAGGCACTGTAAGAAATATGGTGTGAAATGCAGTGGGTTGTACACTTTCTCTTCTCCTTATGAAGTGCAATGGGAAGATCAAGGTCAGTGGGATCAACTGCAACAATGGTGTTAGGGACAGAAACATTATCATCAGAAAACATAACAGGCTTAGGCTCAAGAGGAATACCTGGAACTGTATCTGCCGAATCTGGAGTTTCAGAAGGACTGATAGAGAGTGGTGTGGGTTGAGGATGTGTGGAGTCAACCATCATCTGTCGGTGCTAATATTTCTGTGAGGCTGCCCATAGTGGCTCAGGTAATGAAACTGGAGGTGCAAGTGCTGGCTGAACTGATGGAGGCACCGCCGAAATAGGAAGAGGAACAAATTGTGAGTTCTCCTCCCCAAAACTCTCCCCCTGAGGAGAACTACTCGAGAAGAAGAATGTGAATTCAAAGAAGGTAACATCTATAGTGATAAATCATCTCCTCGACACTGGGTCATAACAGCAATACCCCTTTTGGTTCTGAGCATACCCAAGAAAAATACATTTCTTGGCCTTAGGATCCAATTTCTTGCGATGAGGGCCAAGAATGTGAACAAAAGAAACACAACCAAAAACCCTTAGAGGTATATGAAATATCTCTCCATCTGGAAAAAGAAGGCTAAATGACACCTTAAACCCCAAAGTTCGTGAAGGAACACGGTTAATCAAATGCACGGCTATAAGAACTGCATCTCCCCAGAACTGCATAGGAATTGAAGTACACACCATAAAACTCCTTGCCACCTCCACAATGTGTCTGTTTTTCCTCTCAACAACTCCATTTTGTTGCGGTGTATATGCACAACTGCTCTGATGAACTACACCATGTTCTAAGAGATACGTGGTCAGGTCCTTCTCAAAGTACTCTTTGGCATTATCTGATCTAAAAGCCTTAATTCTCACTCCAAATTATGTGAGAACCATCTGGTGGAAATGTCGTACCAATTTAGGAACATCATCACGTGATCTCATCAAATATATCCAAGAATATTGTGTATAATCATCCACAAACAAGAGAAAGTAACGGAATCCTCCCATGGAAGGGATATGATATGGCTCCCATACATCAATGTGAATGATATTAAAAGCAATACTTCTTTTATTACTTGGTTTAAAAGACTGTCTATAATGCTTTCCTAACTGACAACTTTCACACTCCAAAGTAGATAACTGAACAGACTCAAACAACTTTGGGAAAAGACATTTCAAAGAACTAAAAGAAACATGTCCCAAGCGATTGTGCCAAAGCATAATCTAGTTCATTGACTCTGACCCACTACTACTGCTGTTGCTAACATGATGGCCCTAATGTCTCGAAATCTCATTCAGAAGGTAGACTCCATTCACCTCACGACCACTCCCAATCATCTTCGACTCCAGATCCTACAAAACACAATTACCAGGAAGAAATGTCATGGAACAATTCAAATTTTTTGTCAAAGAACTAATGGACAATAGGTTGGTATGAAGTATAGGGACATGTAAAACAGAAGACAGAGTTATATCATTGGTCACTCTAACTATCCCCTTCCCAACAATGGGCATATGTAAACCATCTGCTATAGAGACTCTGTCTCTACCAAAGCACAACTTATAGGAATTGAAAATGGTAGGGGCATTAGTCATATGGTCAGGTGCTCCTGAGTCTATAATACAGGGAGGTCCCTCCTTACCTGAAGTGGATGCAAGATTTGCAGTTGCATATGAACTACTTGTATGTGCAAAGAAAGTGGTGTAGTTGGCTCCTGCATTCTGTTGTCCATCTGGAAGGCTAGAGCTAGGTGAATATTTCTTACTCATAAGCTGTCCAAACCTCTCCAATTATGTTCTCACTACTGCTACTGCAATGGATTCCCAATCAGTTTGGGAGAGAGGGGTTGAAGAGTCTCCTGTAGTGGCTACATTTGCATTTCCCTTATTGTTTGTTATTCGAGCAGGCATAAGATTTGGGTGAAGCTTCCAACAAGTGTCCCTGGTATGCTTAGGCTTCTTGCAATAATCACACACCAAGTCCTTCTTGTCTTCCCTTCTAGTCTCACTACTCCCCCAGTCTCCATTCGGCTTAGGTTTTGTTGTACCAACCATAGCCGACTGGTCAATCCCAGGCTGTATCAGCATTACATTCCTCCTACTCTCCTCTCTAGAGACAAAGGCATAGGCCTGAGAGAGTGTCACACCCTCCTTAGAAAGAATATGCTGCCTAGCAATGTCAAATTCAGGGTTCAGCTCTGCCAAGAACTCAAAAACCCTATTCCTCTTTACTAGTCTGTGACAAGTTGCTATATCATTTACACTTTCCCATGCCACAGTTTCTAAGTGATCTATTTCCTGCCATAGGGTTTTCAGCATGGAGAAATACACAGCAAGAGGTTTTTTCTCCTTGTTTCATACTTATCACCTGATTTTTTAACTGATAGGCTCTGGCTTCATTTTGCTTATGAGAGTAGGTTTCAGTCACTCCATCCCAAATCTCCTTAGTAGTATTAGCCCATAGGAAATTTTTTGCAATATGAGGTAACATAGAATTACACAGCCA